GCAGATTTTCAGTTGGACAGGGTGACCACCCCTAAGCTCCACGTTGTTCAGGACTCAACTACTATAATATCTAAAGGATGAAAAAACTGTTTACTACCTAAGGAGTTTTTCGAAAGTTTTTTCTTCACTTAAATGTTTATCGAAAGCAATAAATCTGGCATAAACAGTCAAATATTTTGACCCAAACCTTATTTCTTATTTTGATTAGTTCTTTAAAAAAACAGTCACTTAAGAGCCACTAAAAGGGGAGAAGCAGTGACCTTCTACTCCACATCAGGAAACTCTGAGGTATTTTAGAATTAGACCTTTCGTAGCTGCTGCTCTATTGTGGTTGCTGAATGTGCCAGGTGGAGTGGCTGCTTTGAACCCACCAACAAACCAACCCGAACAACGTGGCCCCAAACTATCCCTCCCTGCTTTGACTCACCCTCCCCAAACCAAGCATCTCCACCTCATTTCCTTGTCCCACGGTCTCAAAAACATACTGTCCCTCTGTCTGTAGGTCTCTTGTTCTAGAATGGTCCACTCTCACCTGTCCCAGGACCAGCACCCATGTGCCTAACCACCTCCCCAACCCCCAGGACAGATAATGCATCCGAAAACTTCCTCTGTACAAAGGATGCGCTTCTCAGCTCAGGCCATGGAGACTGCGTAGCAGTCCCAAGTTTTCCCTTTTCACAGGTGGAGGCCAGAAGATGGAGGAGACTCCTCTGAAGTTAGCAGGTAACGAGGGCCTCTAGGTAGAATTTGTTCATAAGTCAAACCTCTGGGAAAGCTGTCCACTGCAGCCACGGTGTATAACGAAGTTCAAACTGCCCCTTGGTCAGAGATAACAGATGTGAGTGGACGGCCTCACAGACAGGGCCCAGCAGCCTCACACTTCCTGGGTAATCCAGACTCTGGGCTTCAAGGAGAAGGGAGCAAGTGTTAGTATCACAGCTTCACATTCTGTGATAAAAATGCCTAAATCAGCAGGGCACCTGGGTGGCTCCGTTGGTTAAGCATCCGACTCCTGATTTCAGCTCAGGCCATGATCTCACAATACATGGGTTCGAGCCCCACCTTGGGCTCAACCTTGATGACATGGAGCCTACTTGGGTTTCTCTCTCCTCCCTCTCTGCCCCTACATCTTTTCTCTCTCAAAATAAATAAATAATCTTTAAAAAATTAAAAAAGAAAATGCCTAAATCATCAAAAAAATGCTTTAATTATGAAGTTTTCACAAAATCAACAACCAGCTTATAAACTTACAATAAAGATACTCAGTTGTTGCTGAAAACAAGTTACACAATACTTATCTGATACTATAAGAAAACTGCACTATCGGTAGGGGTGAGGGAAATTTTACACGTAAGACGTGTTGAGTGGAACAGTACTGACAGAGGTCTGCAGTGTAGAGAACATACGGACCTGATTCTGTGTAGACCACGCAGTCTGTGACTGTCTTCCAGTGCACTTCACCCCTCTGAGTTACAATGCTACTGATATCACAATTGCCTCTGACTTCAAACCCGAATTTACAAATCATATCATAGACCGAGGGAGAAAGACAAGTGGAAACAGGATCTTCTAATAACATCTGAAATACAAAGAAGACACAATTTAACAAGTGAAATAACGTCAATTATATATTCAAGTAACAAAGAAATCCTATTCTACCTCAACTACAGAATATACTCAGGTATAGCTACTGTTAACACACTTGCTGGCTGTCATGAGAGCTATATGATTAAACAGGATTAAATTTTTTTTAATGTTTATTTATTCTTTGAGAGCAAGGCAAGAGCACAAGCGGGGGAGGGGCAGAGAGGATAGACACAGAATCTGAAGCAGGCTTCAGGCTCTGGGCTGTCAGCACAGAGCCTGACATGTGGTTCCAACTCGCCGACTGTGAGATCGTGACCTGAGCCAAAGTCGGACGCTTAACAAACAGAGCCACCCAGGCGCCCCAAAACGTGATTAAATGTTAATTAAAGATAGTTTACATAAATGTTTTCAAATAAATGTTGAAGATTTGAAATTATTAATATTTAAGACATGAGTTTACAAAGTTCAGCACACCTGCCTTTCTATCCTATCCCACAGTTATCAAAATGATCAATTTTTTCAATGGGGAATGGAAAAGCAGAAAAACAAGCATAATGACCTAAAACACAAGTAAAAAGCTTGCCTCTGACTCCCTGTGTAGTGTAGAAAGCAGCAAAGCACATTGTTTCTCCATGAGGGATTAAATAAAACCAAAATCCTCATAATTAGCCCTACATTCCACTCACATCATTCTATAAACCTGCAAAGGAGTCACACTCCGGGGCTAAAATTATCCTGGGGTCTTCATCTGATGCATCAGGTTAAGGGGTGTCTGCCCCAACATCAGGGATTAAGCCCTGGCACCCCGAGTTTGGACGCTGGCCCCGACCCAGCGTCGCCCTGTTACACCGCTCGCCTCTCCTGCTCCCCAGTCTCGCTTCCCACTCTCAGCCCCACCTGCCAACCCATCCCCCCCAGGCCTTAGCAATTCAGGTGCTGCCCAAGAAACATGCACATCACACCTTCCATGTGCCCAAGAAACATGGCACCAGTGATGCCATGACCCCACAGACCACACGCTGCTCAGCCGATCAGAGGTGACAGATGCCGCAAGTCAGCAGGGGCAAGAGGGGACCTGCTCGCACAGCCCGGGCCTTCCGGTCCACGTTCTGTTTCTTTGAGCTTCTCCTTGGCGGCAGCAGAGCCTCCTGCCCCAGCAGCTGAATCCGGTCTGCGGTTCTCCGGCCCCTGCAAGGCCCAGCTGCAGAACAGCCTCCCTCCCCCCCCCCCCCCCCCCCCCCCCCCCCCCCCCCCCCCCCCCCCCCCCCCCCCCCCCCCCCAGCCCAACCACCACCACCTGTCCAGCATCTGCCCATCAAAGGTTTGCCTCCCAGAATCACCAGACTCTCCAAGAAGCTGAGAGGCACCACCTCTTCCTTAGAGACCCAAGTTTCAGCTAGGTGGGACCTTCCAGCTCCTGAGTTGTAAAATTCCAACTTTCCTTAGCTGGGAGTCCGACAGGTAGTGACTGCTTCCTGCAGGTACCAACTCCACGCTTTTAGAGAGCTCTCTTTATTCTTTTTATAACAATTCTATACCTTGTTAACGCTTTATTAAATTCTTAGTTCAAAAACTAGTGTGGTTTGTCTCCTAAACGACACAGAAATAAAACCCTAAAGTGTTACTTTCACGTGACAGAGGACTCCTTGCGTTTTTAAAAAGCATATAAATCCTAAAGGAACGAGTTGCAGTTCTGGGGTGACAAGTGGCAGACAAATATTTTCGCACAAGAGCCCACCTACTCCACCACTGCAGGCCCTGGAAACGGCCAACAGAAGCCGTAAGAAATGTCTTTTCTTCCGGCTGTAGTCGCCCTATCAACATAGCTGCCCCAGACCATGGTATCCTACAGCACCAGGGTGGGGTCTTCGACAAGGTGTCCCCCCGGGACACGGCATGGCCCCTGCACACAGCACATGTACACCAAGACCTAATTAAGCGAAGGCTCGTTCTGGCTGGAGCCTACCTGCGCTCGTCTTCAAGTCCCTACAACCTTCAGCTTTCAGGAATAACAACATCCTACCCCCTGCCAACACGCGCGCGTGCGCGCGTACACACACACACACACACACACACACACACACAATTCTAGAAGTTGGCTTTTATGTTAACTTTCAAGCACATGCTCTCTTGTACAATGGAGGACGTTAAGAAACAAAATTTCACTTCAAAGCAAGAAATATTAAATAACTGCCATTTTGTCACTCATGACAAACGCATTTTCCTGTGTATTAGTTACAAACACGCCGTCCTCCCACCAGAAGCCCTGCACGTGCGCGCGTGCACGCAAGTGTGCACGCAGGTGTGCGCACCCACGCATACCATCATGCCTGGAAACATCGGTGTCTTGTCAGCTATGGGTCAGCGCAAACAGCCTATGTTCAGGGGCTAGAAAGGCTCAGGTTTGACTTCCTCCTCACTCTTTGTACCTCTTGCTCTGAAAAAATGTGGATTCTGAGCCTCTGTCCTAACTGTAAATGGTGCAGGGTATTATCATCTTTTAGGGTTGCAGTAATTAGAGAGAACACTTGAGAAGCGTCTGGCGCATTGTACTCGAACAGTAGCTATCGCTGCAAGTGAGGGCCGACGTTTCCTATTTCACTGCAGGAGGCCAGAACCCCATACAATCCGAGCCACGGCCACTAAGACCTGCACAAATCAGCCACCAGTTGATGTTACCAAAACGTGAAATTTGAATTTGTATCCGCTGCTGAGGTAAGTATCACACGGAGCGTGCCGTATTGCTTAGAGCACGACACAAACTCCCTTCAGGACATGGAGACCGCAGAACACACCCCGAGCAACGGCCGCGTGCTGCTCGCACGACCCTGGCCCTCGGAACCCGTGAGGACGCGGCGCTGCAGGCGCGGGAGCCCGTGAGGCCCACGCACGAGCACAACACTACATTCTTACACTGTCCACTCGCGAGTTTCAGCCTGGGACCTGCGCCCCCGTGACAACTGGGGGTCGAGGCGGCGCCCAGGTGATCGAGGGCAAGGGGTGCGTCTTCGCGGCCAGAGCCGGGCGCCCAGCTTCTGTCCGGTAGCGGACGAGGGGGCGGGCAGGGCCGACCTGCCTCCGAGGCGGTGCGGGCGCTTACCCGGCGGAGCCCGGGCACCGGCGGCCAAGAGCGCCCCGCCACGGCCCGCCCAGCCAGAGGGGCGCGGCCGACGCCGCACAGCCTCCAGTCCGCAGCGCGGCGAGACCGGGCGCGCAGACGGCGCGCACCGACGCGCACGCGCACCCCAGCTCGCTCCGCTCTACCTCCAGGACTTCCGGCTCCGGGCGGCCGGCGCGGCGAGATGACGCACGCCTGCCCCGCCCTTCTCTCCCGGCCGCGCTTCCGGGTGGCGGGGCGCAGGCGCGAGACTTGAGCTCTCGCGGGTCGCGGCTAGGCGTTCGGGTCCGGCGGAGGCGGGCCGCTGGGCGGGGTGGCGAGCCGGCGGCATGGAGAAGCGAGGCCGAGGCGCGAAGCCGGCGCCCGCCCCGGCGCCTCAGCCGCAGCCGCCGCAGCCTCGGAGGGAGAGGAGGCCCAGCATGTTCGAGAAGGAGTCCGTGAGTGCGGGGCGGGTGTCGGGAGCGGCCGTCTCCTCCCCGCGCCACCGGGCACCTGGCCTGGGCGGTTGGTGCCGCGCTCGGACCGGGGCGGTTGTCCGCCGGCGCGGGTGCGCGCTGCCCGGAAGGAAGGAAAAGTGGCGCACGTGCCGAGCGCACGACGAGGTGTTTTCAGTTTTCAGTTTCAGCCGGCGGCTCGGTGTTGGAGGAACACACAGGAGAGAAAAAATTGAATTGAAAATGTTCTCCCGATTAACTTCTTTCCGAAATCATTGGAAGATGCCGTTGTGGCGTATCGGTGGGGTAGCACGGGGACTTCGGCAGGACCGTGGTCCGAGCAGTCCCTGTAATCGAGGCTCCGTGTTGTCTTGAGACTTTGAGTGAAGAGGTCGTTGGTCGGCGACGCAGAGCTCTACCGCCACGGCCGAGACCGCAGCCCGCGTCCGGGGACCCCGGGCCCACAGCCTAACGGCTTCTCCTCCTACTTCATGGGGCTCGTAACGGACAGGAGGCAGGAGAGAAGTGATTGCACAGGTTCTTCCTTAGTGAAGGGATAAGAAAATAAAAGGAAAACCGAGTCAGAAGGCCAGTATTATGTGTAAGGACGAAACGGTAGAGATGTGAGTTTTCAGCACGTTGGAATCTGTCATTTTCGAACCATACACGCATGCTCTGACCCCAGAGGGGATCATTTGCAGTTGGAAGCCATCTGGAAGTCAAGTGTGGTTGTAGCCCTTAGGAATATGGGGGGGGGGGGGAGGATGGCAATTACTCTAGAGAACCATTTTCTTAATAAAAAGGAACAAAATACAAATTTTGTTTCTAAGAGGTTTAGGGAGCTAATAATACTATTTTCCTCCAAGCAAAGGCTGGCAAATAAAACAGATTTCTGATGAAGGACTCCTACTCACAGCCAACATGGAGTCACTCCTACCAGAAACTACTGATTATAGAACAAAATGTATGAAACGGTGGCTTTTCCATTGATCGGGTATAAGGCAAGACAGGATCTCGGGGGGCAGAGAAATGAGAACAGTGAACCCCTAGATTCCCCAACTGCATGATGAGGGATTCCACCCCACACCTGTGGAGAGGTCTCAGCTGAGAAGGATCTGGGATCCAGGGTACATAAAGCTGATATGAGTGCAGAGCCAAGTATGGGAGAGGAAGGAGCTGTACAGACAGCTCCAGGTGTCTGCAAAGGGTTTTCCTCAAGGCTGCAGCGTAGTGCATCAGTGCATTGGGTAAGGAAGCCACCTGTGGCCAGAGAAAGCCACCAAAGTGAGCAGAAAAAAATCCGTGGACTCTTACAAAATCATTTGTTTTCCCACCAGTAAGAGTGGAAAACTGTAGGGCATTGGCTAAAGTGCTAAGAAGTGTATGGAAGAAATAGCCCTAGAGCCAAAGATTTTTCTGGTCTGGTCTATCAAAGCTTAAAAGCAAGCCTCCATAGAATTAAACTCCTTCTGTTACTACATACTAGAAAAAAGCTCAAGAGTACTTAAAGGAATGCAGAAACATACACTGAAAATGAAGATGAAATTTACAGTATCTTGTGTCCAATAAAATATTTGCGGACCCTCAAAGAAACAGGAAAATACAACCCAAAGTGAGAGGAAACAGTAAAAGAACTCAGAATAACAAATGGCAAACACAGAATTAGTGTAAAAGATCACTAAAGTAATTACTATAAATGAGTTACTGCATTAGCTTTCATCAAATTAAAGCAGTTATATACTTATAAAACAGTTAATGCATTCTGTAGATACAAAAACGTACAGAAAAAATTGAGTATATGAAATCCAAATGAAACTCTACAGTTGAAAAAAACAATGATGTCAGAGATGTAAAATACACTGAATGGAAATAGATTTGACACTGCAGAAGAGAGAATTAGTGAACCTAGAGACGACAATAGAAAGAAGACCTGAGGAAAATATATTAGACCTCAATGAGATATTGAGGAATTTCTGACTATACACACACACACACTCACACATAATATTTGGAGTCCCCAAGTGAGGAGAGGGGAAGGAGAAGGCGAAAAACATTTGAGGAAATAATAAATTTACAAACTTGATGAAAACTATAAATCCACAAATCCAGGAAACTCCATGAACTTCAAGCACAAAAAATATGAAGAAAATCATGCTAAGATATGTAGTCGTCAAATTGCTTAAAATCAATGATTTAATAATTTAAGGGCAGCTATGGGGAAAATAAGAAAACTTTAAGTAAAACGCCGAAATGAAAATAGGCTTCTCACCAGAAACAATGCAAGCCAGAACACTGAAAAATCTTTCATTACTTTAAAGTCTCTTTAAAGTTGAAAGAACCATCAACCATGAATTCTATACCAAGTGAAAATATTTTTCAAAAATAGAGGCAAAATAATGGTTTTGTTCAGATAGACAAAAATGAAAACTTCACCAACAGACCAGTGCTATCTGAAATGTGAAAGGAAGTCCTTCAGGCAAAAGGAATGTCATGAGATGTAAATACCTAGATGAAAGAATAGAAAGCATTGGAAGTGATAAATATGCAGATAAATGTATCTTTTTCTGTATTATTAAGTCTGTTTCAAGATTATTGGCTGTAGGGGGGTGCCTTGGTGGCTCAGTCGGTTAGGCATCTGACTTCGGCTCAGGTCATGATCTCACGGTTCATGGGCTCGGGCCCACGTTGGGCTCTGTGCTGACAGCTCAGAACCTGGAGCCTGCTTGGGATTCTGTGTCTCCCTCTCTCTCTGCTCTTCCCCCACTCATGCTCTGTCTCTCTCTCCTTCAAAAATAAACACTAAAAAAAAAAAAAAGATTATTGGCTACAGGGTACCTGGGTGGCTCAGTTGGCCAAGTGTCTGACTTTGGCTCAGGCCGTGATCTCACGGTTCCTGAATTTGAGCACCATGTCAGACTCTCTGCTGTCAGCGTGGAGCTGGGATCCTCTGTCCCTCTCTCTCTCTGCCTCTCCCCCTCTTGTGCACTCACTCCCTCAAAAATGAATACAGTTAAAAAAAAAAAAAGATTATTGGCTGATTAAATCCAAAATAACATATTTGGGGCTTGTACCCTCAAAATATTTTATTTATAGAGGTAAAATACATGGCAGTTCTAGCACAAAGGCCAGAGAGTTGGCAGGAGAGGGCATATACCATTGTAGGACCCTTGCTGTATATGAAGTGGCATAATATGACTTGAAAGTAGGCTGATAAAGATATATACTATCAGGCCTAAAACTACCACCGGAAAATAATAAAGTCAATAGGCCAACAGGTAACAGATGAATCATGAAAAATACTTAAAGGAAAGCATAAAAAATAAAAAGAACAGGGCACCTGGCTGGCTCAGTTGGTAGAGCACCGAATTCTTGATCTTGGGGTTGTAAGTTTGACCCCCATGTTGGGTGTAGAAATTACTTAAAATCTTTACAAAAATAAAAGCAAATAATAGATGAAACAAATAGGAAACCAAACATGTGAAGGATTAAACATAATGACATTCATGTTGTTATAACACCCCAATTAAAATTCAGATTACTTATAAAAGCAAGATGAAACTATGTATTGTCTACAAGAAACACTAAAATGGAAAGGATACTATGTGAACACTAATAGAATACTGAAGTACATATATTAGTATCAGACAAAATATATTTCTAAACAAAATATAAGAGATAAGGGAAATCATTTCATAATGCTGAAAAATCAGTTCATCAGAAAGACCTAACAATCTTAATTTTTTTTGCACCTAAAGTCAAAGCTTTGAAACACAGGAAACAAGAACTTTTTTTTTTTTTATATTTTTATTTATTTCTAGGAGAGAGAGAGAGAGAGACAGCGTGCGCAGGGGAGGGTCAGAGAGAGAGGGAGACACAGACTCTGAAATAGGCTCCAGGCTCTGAGCTGGCAGTCCGCAAAGAGACCGACGCGGGGCTCGAACCCACGAACTGTGAGATCATGACCTAAGCGAAAGTCGGACGCTTAACCGACTAAGCCACCAAGGCGCCCCGAACTTCATGTATTCTTACAGAAATCGACATCCATAACTACAGTTAGAAATTTCAATATAAGCATCTCTATCAGTAATTGATGGAACAAATAGACAAAAAAACTAATAAAAATATAAAAGACTATAAATGAACAATAATAACTTGTATTAGTGCAGTTTTAGCACATACTCCATGCAACCCCAGCTGAATAAGTGTTCTTTAGAAGTGTACATGAGAAGCACCTGGTTAGCTCAGTGGGCTCAGCAACCAGCTTCAACTCAGGCCATGATTTCATGTTTCCTGAGTTCGAGCCCCACATTGGGCTCCATCCTGGGAGTGTGGAGCCTGCCTGGGATTCTTGCTGTCTCCTCTCTGCCCATTTTATGCTCACACTTTCTCTCAAAATAAATTTTTAAAAAAGTGCACATGAAACATCCCAATGAATGTTTTCTGGGACATGAAACAAGTCCCAGTAACTTTAAGAGGATTCAGATAACACAAAGTATGTTCTTTGACCATAATGGAATAAATTAGAAATCGTTAACAGAAAGAGATATTGAAAAATGTAAATTATCTGAAAATTAAATGACACACTTCTGAATAACCCAGGGTATAAGAAAATAAAAGAGAAAATATTTTAAACTGAATGAAAATACATTTCAAAAAATGTAGGGTGTGCCGATAGCAGTACTTGGGGAAATTTGTAGCCCTAAATACTGATATTAGAAAAATTTCAAGTCTAAACTCAAAGTAAATGAAAGTAAGGAGGTAATAAAAAGTGAAAGTCAACGAAATAGCACACTGAAAAATAAGATTAATGAAGACAAAAATATTTTGGGAAGATCAATAAATTTGATAAACCTCCAGCCTAAAAGTTGACAAACAACAGCCTGTGGGTCAAATCTAGCTTGCTACCTAGTTTTGTACAGTCTATGAGCTGAGAATGACTTGTATATTTTAAAAGGATAGATGGAGACGGGGAGGCAGAAGAAGAAGGGGCAGCTGGAAGAGGA